CTCTCTCTCTCTCTCTCTCTCTCTCTCTCTCTCTCTCTCTCTCTCTCTCTCTCTCTCTCTCTCTCTCTCTCTCTCTCTCTCTCTCTCCCTTGCATATTTTATCTTTCCCTTGGCCCATGCCTCTCTGGTATAGTTGTGACTTTATTGCAACAACATGGAGAGAACTGTTGGGGGCATATAGCACCAGTTCCGCATTAGTGCCAACTTGCAAACCTGTTTGGGTATCCATCACCCATCTGAAGGCAACATCATCTTACCTCATCCTCTTTCTTTTCCCAATCAGCAAACTCCACCCTCGCTCTCTCCCGGGCCAGCATTGCCTGCAAGTCAATGACGTGGATGACAACAACATTGACTAAATAAATAAGGTTGTTCATGGCTACTTGAGAACGCTAGATGACCTAAAATCACTAACATCTGACCCATCGATTTCACGAGAAGAATAAGGAGTTTGTTCCGTGCGCTTCACACCCACCCACCCTCCAACCCTCCCCACTGAAAATAGAAAGGCACCAGAAGCTTGTGATCTGGGGCTCCTTTTAACTCGGCGACCCAAAGAGGGGCGAAAAAAAAAAAAAAAAGAGGTGTAATCAGTGGGTCTGACAGATGCATATCCCCTGATACCTTGATAACTGTAGAGTCGTATCTGATCGCCGTCGCGTGGTTAACCAAATGTCCTAGTCGCCCAACGATAGTGGAGTTCAGACACAACAAGCAGCCAGCTGTGCTGACTCAAGTACAACATTACAAACAATGCGTACAAAAAAAAATACGAATTGAACAGCGAAAGTCACAAGCCCGGTGGGGGCGACAACTCCAAAATTACAAAATTGTTGACTCTCTGACAGATGCAAACTAACACTGACAGTCAGCACGAGAACCTGCATGCTTACAGGATAACTTTTCTTTTTTTCCTTTTGGCTTACAGGATATAACATAGATTAACAATTTGGCAAAGTGATGGGAGAAGGAGAGAAGGGTTGGGGGAGGGGGAGGGGGAGGGGGATTTGACGTTTCCAAAGCTACCTGCTTCACCCGAATAGGACACACGGTACACGGTACACGGTACACAGTAAACGGTTATGATCGCCGCATCAAGACTGAAAGTTGCAGCAAAATACAGCTATAATCACCATGCAGTGGCATGCACTCTGTTCAGATGAAGACAGTAGGCGACCAATCAATCTTGGGGACAAATCATCCCTACGAATGACATTGAGATCGCTGCATCACGACTGAAAGTTGTGCCAAAATACAGCTATAATCACCATGCGCTCTGTTCAGATGAAGACAGTAGGTGACCAATCAATCTTGGGGACAAATCATCCCTACAAATGACATTGAGAGAGAGTATCACTGGGGGAAAAAAAAAAAAAAAAAACAATGAATGACTGGCCGCCCAAGTCCTTTTCCATGTGAATTAGACGAAATCTCCCAGGAGAAGTTCAATCTAGCAGACAACCCCCCCAAAAAAAAGGAAAAACAAGAAAGAAACCATAGCCAACTCGTTCCTTCATCACTCATTTCGTCATCCGTTCTCCTACAGCAACAAATGCAGTCTCAAGAAGAGCATCACTTTTTCCTTTTCTTCTCAAGTTCCTTCTCTGTGAATTGGACGAAAGACGAAATGATCAAAATCTACAACCGTCTTTCACCCAAACAGGCAGTCTTTTATGCGGGCTGTACACTAACTTTGTTTGCTGAGTCCCAATGGGACTTGATCCCGTGACCTGTAACTGGACTGTAATAGTCTCTGTTGGCTGGTCTTAGGCCCTTTGGCCTTTCTTCTGTCTTTTTTCCTCGTACGTTTTAGCAGGCGCGTAGGCTCTCCTCCTTTTTCCTGCTTTCAAGTCTAGATCCAGTCCTAGGCAGTTGGCTGTAAGTGACAAAGATGAAAGGAAAAAATCGTTGTTTAACTGCTGGTACACCACTTATTTGTTCATTGACTAAGTTTAGATCTTAGGGCTGTCGGCTGTCGGGTCCTAAGCTGTAGAGGTCTACAAAGGTGTCGAGGGCAGAGGGAAACGGGCTCTGCTCGTCATTTTTTTTCACGACCGTCTGCAGGAGGTCACGTTACGCTGCTGCGCTATTTGCTACTGTGGTGAAGCAGCTTCTGCTACCTGGACGGGCTGGCGGCCATAGCTGTGGCCATCTCCGGCCGACATCTGGCTGCGCTGGGCTTCAGGCCCTGGGCGCTGTAGGTGCCTCCTCCTCGCTGTGCTTGTTGGGGTTCGACAGGAAGCTGCCATCGAAGCTCTGCTGGAAGTATACTTCGAAGTGGCACCCATCTTCTTCTCCTTCTTCTTCAAGTTGTTCTTATTCTTCTTCTCCATCCAGGGAGCTACTCTCCCCTGTTGAGCGGACAGGTCATCCATCTCCAGTGGGCATCGATTTTGGACTGCACAGTGGCATGTTGGGTTCAGGAGGGTTGGTGGCAATTGCTGGGCTTGATAGCTTGGGCGCAGGCCTGCACCATAGCTGTGAGCTCGAGGCTGGCAGGAAGAAGAAGTCTCCCCTACTTGGTGAAACATTCTTCTTAGTTGGTTTGTGGATGTTCATACCGTGGTTAGGATGCTTGGGAGAAAAAAAAAAAAAAAAAAAGTGCGTTGATTGGCTGGACGCAGCGGGATATTAACGAGAATTGATTCATCTCGATTCTATTTTTGGATTTAACAAAGTCCTACCGCTGTGTATTCTCTCATCCAGCGTGGTGTGAATTGCTGTCTCCAAGATCTCTTGTCAGTGCGCATGTGTTATGGGAACATGTGGATGCCATGCTGTATATCGTTTCAATCAGGCACATAACAAGTTCCTCTGTTAGGGTTTTTTTCCGCCTTTGCCTCACAGTACTTGTACACTATCGGTCACAGAGAAATATGTAGGCTTACAGGGTCACTATCGGTCACAGAGAAATATGTAGGCTTACAGGGTCAGGGTCGGGACCCCAAGTTATTATATCTGTATTGGGGCCAACTTTCAGGCTAGATACAGCGATAACGTCCGTCCATTCTTTCTCTGTGAATTGGACGAAAGATGGAATCTACAACCGTCTTTCACCCGAATAGAATGCCAGTTCCCTTCCTTCTTAGGGTTCTTTTACACCTTTCGCTCACAGTACTTGAACGCTATTGGTCACAGAGAAATACGTAGGCGTACAGGGTGGGGACCCCCAGTTATTATAGCTGTATTTGGGGCAACTTTCAGACTAGATACACCGATAATGACTGGCCGTTCTATTCGGGGGACGAGGGCAGGAGTCCGATCTTGGAAACGGTGGCAAAATAAAGTTACCAAGACAAGCAAACAATCAGGGCATACTCACACGAGCACGTCTTTTTACTCACTCCAGGATGTAATTGCGGTTAGATTCATCCAGATCTGGCCGTAATTGCAGTCGGATACACGTAGGAATGTGCTATCTCGTTGTGAGAAAGCAACACCACCAGGACGAAATTGCAGTTAGATTCATCCAGATCTGGCCGTAATTGCAGTCAGATACACGTAGGAAAGCGCTACCTCGTTGTGAGAAAGCAACCACCACCATTCTGCTGTCGTGCACATACCCCGGGCGGCTCCCCCCCCCCCCCGTGCAGGTTTGCCCGGCCGGGCGACCCTGGTAAACACAGCTTTTCACAGATTTCATCAAACAAACACAGAGAAATAGGCCCTGGCCAGGGGGGGAGGGGGGGGAAGGGGGCGGCGTGGGGCAGGGGATGCATTGAGCAGAGAGGGCGGGGAGAGGAATCGTACATAAATAGTAACAGTTGATAAGAAGCAAATGTATCGGAGCCAAAACTAAGTTATTAGACCCCCCCGAAAACAAAAAAAAAAACTGAAGACGACAAAGAAAAAGACGAAAAAGAAGAAGAAGAAGAAGAGCGTTACGAACCCCGCAAGAACCACAAAGGAAGGAGAACAAAGGAGATTCTATCTAGAGATGACAACAATCGCTGCGATTTCTCTGAAGCACTTGTTAACAGGCATATCACTAAATGGACATGGTTGTCATATATGCTGGGAGCCTGGTGACACCGGGATGACTCAACCACCTTTCTCCTCAAGTCATTACCATTTCTTCCTCATGGCGTCGCTTCTCGATCTCTCTTTCTTCCCGTCTCTTCTTGACTTTCTCAATCTCTGCCTGGAAAGCCAAACAACAATAGCAAAAAAAAGAAACAAAGCGGAATACAGACAAAGAATGAGCTAGCACGCAAGGGGGAGGAGGGGGGGGGAGAGAGAGAGAGAGAGAGGGAGGGGAGAGAGATGGATGGACGAAGAGTGCAAGTCGATGTTTCAAGTCAATGCAGCTTAAAACCGCATGGATGATCGGCTCCATAGACTAGCAGACATCACATACATATAAAGGCCCTCTGGGGAAAAATAATTAAAAATATATATATTTAAAAAATAATTTAAAAAAAATGTCATGCCAAATGTCAAAGTTCTTATGCCCCTCTCAGGCCCTCTGAAAAAAAAAAAAAAAAAAAAAAAAAAAAAAAAAAAAGAGAGAGAGAGAATTATTATCCTATTCTGCTGGTCCTGGTCGGCCCGAGATTCCAGCTCCAGTGCATGTAACCCAGAATGCTAATGCTAATCAGGGCATACTCGCACTAGGACTTGTTTTTTGACTGATCTCTGGACGTATTCGCAGTCAGATACATTGAGGACCCAGTCATAATTGCGGTCAGATACATCCAGGAAAGTCCTAGTGTTAACATGCTCTCTTTGTATATGCTATGGTCAGTGTTGCGCAACAGTAAAAACTTAAAACTGCGGACTACTCTCGGCGAAATTCATCATCATACAGATCATCATGCATCTACTACTACATGCTGCACTTTTTCAATGCATAGTATTGCATACTGACCGTAATTGTGTTCAGATACATCAGGAAGAAAACATGCACCTACCTACCTGCTCCGTCACCATACAAAGCACTCCCCCTGCGCTTTCCTAAAAGGAAATCGCTGTCTAACTTTTTCCAAAAGGAGATCATGGACCCTAACTCAGTTGATACAACCATGAACTGTCGAATTACACGCCTGAGTACAACGACTACAGATTTCCCGACTTCTGACCATGGTAAGGTTTTCCACAACCTAAAGCTTTGACAACCTAAAGCATTGACTTTGACTCTCGCTTCAACAGACGTCATTTCTGACAGGCAGAAACAGGATGAAAGCCAAGCAGCAGATGCGATGGATAGGAGACGAGACGAATAGGAGAGGAAATGCATGCGTACCATGCGCTCCTTTTGGCGCCGCTTCTCTGCCTTCACAGACAACTCCTTTGGATCTAATCCATTCGCCAAATCCTTCTCGATCTTCTTCCTCCAAACAAATCTGTCCAAAAATCACAGCAGCAACCAGTCATAAATAGTCAATCGACCCACTAATCAACAATCAATTGATTCATCCGTCCATCCATCCACCCACCGACCAAAGGGGGCCCCACGCCATTCAGTTACAGAAGCAACATGGGGTGGTTGTGAACGTGCTCAGGCCGTGGAGGCCAGCTTCAAGAAGGGGCCCAGCGTGGGTTGGTTGAGCCCCAAAGCATCTTCAACCACCAGGTAGGACCCTTACATTTTGAGCCTTAGGCACATTCTGGAAGGTCCCTGGGGCACAGCAATTGGGACACAGGCGTACATCCAGGCCAGGCCCATGCCGGCAGCCACTTTCCATAAAGGAAAGTGCCTGCCTCCAGTCCAGACACATTCTGGCTGGACGCCGCCATGTGAGCTCTGCTGGAGCACACGCTGGAGGCAGAGCGCTGACCCGGGCTTTTGCGCGCACCGGCACAGGGAATACAGCGCTGCACGGCGTCCATAGCCAAGCCGCTTGTGCTTGTAGCCACGTGAAGATGGTGGTGGTCCTCGGCGATGGTGGACAGCCTGTGGAGGGACAGACATGGGATGAGTGAGGGAGAGAGAAGGAATGTACCTGGTGTGTCGAGGAGATCTGCATGGGCGACGTCTTCATGTACATCAGTCTACTGCTGAAGTATTCCTGGTTGCATTACGTAGTCGTCGGCCAGCATAGGTGTTGTGTGATTGTAGTCCGGGCGACAGGCGCCGTACAGAAGCGCGACATTGGATACATTGTTGGTGGAGGCGAGATGACGGCTGAGACTGACAATTGAGTTCATTGCTTTGGCTCTTACTTGGCGTGTAACTGCTTTCTGCTGAGCACACGGCAATCTGGCTTTCAATGGGATGGAGCAATTTGGTTTTCTGTCATTCTCTTTCGCTCATCTTCGTTGCACATGTATCTGCCGCAAAAACATAGAAAGGTACAACCACACCAGAGGTTTTGTCTTTTTCACATTCCGCGAGTGGTGCGGCGGTGCACATACTCTCACAGAAACTTCCCACATAGCAAGCATACGTCACAAAAATTACAGCCGAGGATATCACAATTGGAAAAAAAAGAAAAAAGAAAAAAGAAAAAAGATGTGGGGAAAAGAGGGGGGGGCAAAGCCATTACCTTTCCGTCAAGTTAGAATCGCCAAACGGATTGTTATCATTTGTATAGCCTGCAACGCCAGATGCCTTGAGCTTCTTTGCCACCTTCAAGGCCTGCACCAGACAAGCAAAGAAAAAAGACAAATAAATTTTAAAAAAGGAAAAAAAGAAGGAAAAAGGGAAAAACAAAAGAAAAGGGAAATGTGAAAAAGGCAGTGCTAAAAACCCGGTAGGACCGGGGGGTCCTCCCCCAACCGGAACCGGACCGGTTCTACCGGTCGGTCGACCGGGCCGGTTCTCCCCTGGTTGGCTGTAGCGC